TCAACTACTTAAGTCATATTGAAATCTTCTTCAGCAAAATGAAATGCCATGAAATAAATAAGGAGCTATAAGCGTTTCTTCACAATCCCCAGTTGATCCGTTGACATTAAATAGTTGGTAAAACTTTACCTCAAGGCGTAAAGCTTCATTTTGTCACAGTAGATCTCATCGACTTTATTTATTACAGATTAACACTTCAGTATTGACCATAAAGTGGGCTCGAACCCAAGAAGACTTATTTCACTTATTTAAAGTGTTTGAAGGTATCAATTAGATTCGGAACTATTTTTTTCAGAACAGCTAGAACAGGACATACGGAATCTTATTACTAAAAGGTATTGAATCGTTTCCTGGTGGGAGTAGCAGAATAGAGTCTGTGCATATTTAGAGACAGTCAGATGAAACTAAATAATCCTGTAACCCTCATTAACACATCATAGTTGGGAACAAAGAATTATATCACGATTTAATTTACAAATGTGTCGTGCCAGAATAGTCAATATGCATATCTGAAAAGATTTATTTATTTCAAGTGGCTGGCGTTTTGACAGTTATCATTAGCCCTTTAGCTGACTTCAGGGCTTCACAGAGAGGAGGAGGAACATCAAAGTGAAAGCAAATCGAGAGGGGATAGAATAATGATTGACAGATGTAAAAGAGGCAAACAGACCGAAAGGCATAGGAAAGGTAAGATGAGTACTGTGTAAGGGGTCGAATATGACAAACAATGGGGTCATGGTAGTTTGAAGTCAGAAGTCAACTGCCAGTTAATAGACTCTTTTGCGGTAAAAGCATACGTTGCCCAGTGTGCACAACATGGGGGTAAGTCTATTGCGCACCCTACCCACTTTTTTGTGACTTTGATATCCCTCCCCCCCCCCCCCCCNCCCCCCCCCCCCCCCCCTCCGTGAGGCCCGAAGTCAAATAAAAGGTTAATGGTTAAGCCTGTCATTTGATATAAATAAATATTGAGACTAAGACCATAAGGATAACAACACCACCCTCCGACCTCCCCCCCCCCCAACCACTGCACCAATGGATGTTGGACCGACAAAACATCTTGCCTCAAACAAATAATTCTTATTAAGTGTAAGCCCATGTGTCGGATAAAAAACTGGCAATAAAGGTAACTCGCGTTTCCGCCAAAACGCTTGCGCTCTTAGCGACTAGCAAATGCATAGGCCTATCTAACAGTGATCTATGCACCATCTATAACAAAAATAACTCCTCATACTTAATACTATTAAGTAGTAGAAATAATTTCAAAACGGCTAGCACCTTATTAATCAGTCATCAAGAAATTTTCTATGGGTATCTCATTTCTTAGCAAATTATCTACCAAAGAACTCCGTCCGAAATAGCACCGAAGAAAGAAAGTTTTAGGAATTGTTTGTACATAGTTTTTACTTAGAGTTTGGAATGAATATTTTATGACAAAAAATAAGAAAAAGTGAAGAATGTTTCAAATACCTATCCTAACTAGTAGTGGAGATTGCTGTGAATGCAGAGTCCAGTCACCTGGTTCTTTGCTAGCAGAGTACCAATTTATAAATTGAATAAAGCGACATTGGGTAGAAACACAGACGCACACACACACATCAACCGATGGTAATAGCCTGCTTTTTGGAGCTCTGTCAGCGTGTCATCAACTTTGATGACTTAGCTGTGAGCCATGATTCCTACTTCACGTCTACAGGTGTACGTAATACAAATATAGAATCAGAAGTAAATAGCAATGGGTGTTTAATTAGCTACAAAGCACTAGTATATTTCAAGCGGGCATGCACTTTTAGCATTGCGTTAATTCAGTCTCATGTTCCCTTGCAAGGTCACTAAAGACACAAAAGGCTCGAATGAGCCACTTCTTTCCACTTGACACCTATTTTCTAATCATACAAAATACAACCTTCTCCCGAGTAATCTAATTTGACGGCGCTTCAATACGAGGGTGAGTCATAGAGTTCTCAGACAAGTGTCATAACTTCAAACAGAACAAACATTTACAGGTTTTTACACGCTCAAACACGCCTTTAGGGCTTCCTTGAGAGCACTAAACTGTCCGACAATTCTACTGCAACGTCAAGATCAATTCAGGTTACATCTCGAAATAGCTAGCAATGCCCCACCCTTCAAATGGCAAATTTTGAGATCGAAACTAGCATGAAACTGTTTACTAGACTAAATTAGAAATCCCTTCAGATCATAGGAGCAATACAACCGGTTTAAATGGAATCTGTGCCATGTAGAGCAGTCATTTATGATTGGATCCAACACTTTAAAGAGGGGGAGACCCACGACCCACGAGGAGGGAGACCAGCACAGTAAGACATCTTGTGCCTAGTGAAAAAAGATGGACGATTCGCCAATGAATTAGAAATGGCACACAGATAAGCATTTTTCAACTCTCAATATCTTGACTTGAGCATGCACTCGGTGAGCGTGGTGGAATCCAATGACGGGAACTTTTGTCACCAAACTTTAGCAAAGATGGAAACAAATGATGATATGTTATTCATAGTACTAATGGAGATGAAACGTGGATTTACCAATTTGATGCAGAAAACAAAATTCAATCAAAAGCGTGACATTCAAAGGGGAAATCTGGGCCCGACAAGTTCAAAGCTGGAAGATCTGTTAACAAGGTCGTGGACACTGTTTCCTGGGCTTCAAAAGGAGTGACACGATAGATGAACTTTCTAGAAGGACAGAAAACGGTCACCTCAAGTCATCATGAAAGCGTTCAGAAGTTGAAGGCATCCCACTCCTAAAACGACACAGGAAACTGCACAGTTACATTGGATTCCATCATGACAATGGTTCTTAACAGTCTTCAGGAGCTATCAGGGCCCTGTTGTACGAATATCGAAGAAAAACACTCTATATACTCCTTATAGACCAGACCTAACTCAATCGCACTTTGTTTCCGAAACTAAAGGAACACCTTAAAGGCTCCCGATTTACGTCTTTGGATGAAGAAAAAGTATGTAATTTCATGATACCACAGACAGCCTCCAAAAATCTGTCATGAGGGAAGTTACAGGTGGAAATATAAATTACAAAAGGGTATAGACAAAAATGGAGTCTACGCAGAAAAATGTAAATAATCACTTGCTAAATAACTAAACTATGGAATATGTCTGCGGACATTTCGGAGTCTACGTAGAAACAAGAGCAAATTTTTGCCCCACTAACATAAGATTACAAAGTTTTTTCACAAACAACAGGTAAGAATAAATTAAACTATAATCACGTAGGACAAATATTAAATATACAAAAATAAAAAACAAATAAATTACAATGTCACCGAGGAAAAGAGTTGCCAATACCAAAAGAAAAAGAACCCCATAAAGTGAATGAAGCTGTAGGCATTTAACATCAGAGGGAAGAGAAACGGATATCTCTCGGGAGGTTGAGCAATCAGAGGCAGAGCAAAAATGCCGACATATCCGAGTAGAGAAAGACTCAGAGGGAAGAAATGAATGAGAGAAACGCGGGATTTTCCTGTGGCATCAATAGCAAGACACAGTGAAGAAATTACGTAGTACACAACGACAAGAGCAAGACCACATTGGCAAAGCCCATCTTTAACAAATAACTGCCACATACTCAATGTAGCAATGATTAAGAAGTAGGTGGCGGAGAGCGGGTAAAAGACAAGTAAGCATAGCACTGGAACACATACTAACAATATCGATTTTTCGTGAACGTGATAAGAGAACAAAAAGAAAGCGAGGGAAACTATAACTTCAGAAAGAATAAGGCGAGGTAAAGTGGGTTTTGTGAAAATTTTATAACAAGCGGGAAGTGAAGACACAACAGTTGCGACGCCACAAGAGTAGACAAGGAAATCTGTGGTGAATAGCTGACGCCATTTAATAAAAACAGAGGAAATACACCAGAAATTTGCAACTTTGTCTTCATAGAGGCCTCGATTTACTGGAAACATGCGAATGGCGACATGTTTCAACTGCTCCAAAGTTAAAAAAGGCAGGAGAACAACAGCAAATGTAGCACAGACGGTTAATCCCAAAATTGCAACACGTTTTACACCGAAGACAAAGGTATTTGAAAATGATTTTGATAGTAGATAGAAGAAAATTGGAAGGGCGTGGTAAAGTTCCATTTGTTTGTACGATACGGCCAAACAAAATGCAACACTACCAAGAATATCGCAGTCCTTTGAGAAGAGAATGAGGGATATGAGAAAAAGACCAAGACTAACACAATTATATTGAAAATGGCCATGATCAATTATAATTAATCCCGGAAATGATAGCATTAAGAGGGCAACAGAAATGCCGGAAAGTTTTGCACCATTTTTAATGCCCTGAACAGTAATCCCGCAATAGAAAATAGCGGCGAGCATATACGTCAAACAATCGGAGATAAGAACAGACATTCGCATAAATGATTTGTGAGTATCGGATTCATGGCCCCTTGACTTGAAAAGTTCAATCCATTCGGGATTGAGAAATTCAGCTATGCGTCCCAGCAAATAACTATGATAGGCAGTGAGAGGAGGATAATCCAAACCCCAGTAAAGAAGATCATTGGAGGAGGTATTCACATACCATTCAGAGACGTCCAAGTTTACTGTTACTTCCATCCAGTGTCGCTGGGCTTCATAATCACCGTACATAGGAGGCGAAGATTTACCAGAATATGGATGCAAAAGAGTTGCTGAGCGAAGCACCAATCCCAAAGCTAAGGGAATTGCGAATTTAAGGAGAAAACTGGACGAAGTATCCATTTACTGAGAAATCATGAATGAAGAATAATAAGAGGCGTATAATATATTGAATAAATTAATAGAAATCCCAATAATTGGACATATATTTGCATTTTAATAATAATACTTAAGATCGAAACAAGAATTTAACTTAACTTAGCAGACTAAACTTCAATTTCTAAACTACTATTAAGAAAGAGTGAAAGCTCATAAAGACCCACATTGAAAGCGCTTAAATCGCGCTCATGCGCTCAATACATATTAAAGCAGAATTAGGGATTACATTCCGCAGATGACATAATTTGAATAAATAAACAAAATTTTTGCCAAAAAATTATTTTAAATTTATAAACAAGATGATCGCATTTTATCATTATTCTATGGTAAACTCCTTAAATGGTTTTAAACTGCAATATTAAACAGTAGTTGAGTCCAATTTGTGCTTCTTGAATTACACCTTTACTGTCCAGAGTTATGTCAGATTGTTTTCACGGAATATTAATCACCCATATTTTCACTTAGTTGTTTGATAAGCTTTATGCGGCGATCACTTAACTCATCGTGTCAAACTTAGTTGTATATGCCTACTCATATTGAGCATAAAATCATGATGAAACGTGATACAGCAATTATTAGATTTAACTAAATCTCACTTTCGATGGAATTAACTTAAATGCTGTTGCAAGATAACCTTTCGCTCATGTTCATTTCAAGTATTGAATCTGCTCCCCTTTTATCTGTAGTGCTTAAACGCATAAACTATCAAATTTTAGACAGAACGGACACTTAACTCATTGATTGTCCATCGTCAAAAATTTCGCAAATTTTGGTATGAAATTTTGCTAATATGTAAGCTAAATAAAACTTTGATGGGGTATTATACATCTGAGTTTGTTACTAATAGTCAACTATTCAAAAAGAGGGGGCTACTTGAGATGCATTATTTTCAATCTTTTGAGATAAGATGGTTTCGCAGGGCCTCCCTTCCCAGTTTTGAATGTGAATTTTTAATACAGTTTGGTTGAGAAATTTCATTTCACCTAAAACAATAATTCATGAACTTTATCGGAATCATGTGAAAGAACACAAACGTTGTGTTGCACTGACTCAAGTATAGAGTGGCATTTAACCGCATTTTGTTAGCACTTTAAAATACATCGACTTATTTAATTAATCAGAATCACATGCTAAATGTAAAAAGAAATAACAAGCCTCCGAGTGAAATTCCAGAGCTGTTATAGAAATACTTTTGGCACAAATGGCGTGAATGAAATCGATTTAATTTGCGCTACACAAATTTGACCCCAAAAGGGCATACTTACGAAACTTTCATAATCTAACAAAATGGTTAAGCAGGAATATCAATTCCCAGTGTTTGGTATGGGCGACCGAAAATGCTAGATAGCTCCGACAAACTCAAAGTTTCTTTTTAATCAGGTACTAAGAAATACTTCTAGGTGGTCTGATATTACTCAATGATATGTCCATAATGGAATATTTAAAAATATCAAAGATAAGTGGTCGCACATTTTAATTGAATCTAAGAATAGTAGAATTATAAAATGCTTGGAAATTATTAAGAATAAATTTTATTTTGAGAAAATCAGCTACCCTGTTACCACTTTTGAAAGGCAATTTGGAGGTGAGCTTCCAACCAACACATACTACCAACCCATTCACTTCTACCGGCTATTCATCTAGGGATGCGAAATTTGTTAAGCAATTTATCACAACTCATTAAGTTCTCAATATCTTAACTATTGTCGCTCTCGTACAGTACCAAGACAATATCCATCTCTTCCATTTCCCCGTTATCCCACCTTACTCCTTTCCACCCTCCCTTCTCTCAGCGCTAAATTCAATTCGTGTTCTTCAAACTTGGAAAATTGGTAGTCTTTTGGAAGTTCTCTTGCATATAAAGGTGTTACTATGCATAATTTAGCCTGGTGGCTAAATTATTTTTATTAGCAGGGTTGGAGCTACCTCCACGGTGTTTGCCCTTACATAATAGATAGGTGTAGGGGTTTAATGTTTTCATGGGTGTGGCAACCAAGTTCTCAGTGCCTGGCCATATGATCAGCTCTCTTTCAGGCATGGCCACCTGAATCTAGTAGGTTATTAAGCCTACCGAACAGGTGCGAACCTCAGAGCTAAATGATTCTGTCATAAGTCGATAATATGCAAAGAAACCTCCAGTGATTCGGTCCATTTATTTATTTCAAATGACAGGCGTTTTGATAGTTATCAGTAGCCATTTATCTGACTTCGGGCTTCACAGAGAGGGGGAGGAACATCAAAGTGACAAAAAGTCAAGAGAGCAGACACAATAGTGTTTCAAAGATGTGGAAGAGACAGACAGACACAAAGGCAGAGAATAGGTAAGATAAGTACTGTGAAAGGGTTCGAATATGACATACAGTGTGTTCATAGTAGTTTGATGTCAACTGCCGCTTTATAGACTTTTTGCCGTATGAGTATACGTTGCCCAGGTTGCACCACGTGGAGGTGAGTCTTTCGCACCCCCCCCCCCGTCGTAACATTTGATAGCTGAAATGATTTCTAGGGTGTCTAAATGAGGGCTCTCAATATAAAATTTGGAATTTCTTAAATACTGTATAAACTGTGGCACCAGAACCCCTCTAAGTAAAGAACAGTATCACAAAGTTCATTGGACCTTATTTTAACAAGTATAAAATATATGGGAATACTTAATAGTGAAATTATTACAAGTCGTGCTGAAACGACTTTAAGGAATGAAAGATTCCATAAAAGTGAGTGCGATTCGTTACTTTTACACTATTGCTGCCTAATTGGTTCGATTAAGTTTCATCATTGACAGCCTGACCTTGAGTCACAGCAGGGAGGAGGCAGGTGCAATCAGAGTCTGGGTAAAATAATTCGATAAATGCGGAAAAAGCAGTAGTACTAGGCGTGTCAGAAACGTCACGAGGAAAAACTTTGTTCCCGTGGATAAGGTATCCGAAATTTTCCATAGAATTAAGAAATCTACTGCTTTTTGAAAAAACCAAAGACTTTCATGCATGCAGCATTGTAACATCATCAGAAATGTAAAATAGTAACGCCTCGCCACTAGTTCTAACCTTATTAGTCATTTCAATTAGTCACTAATACCTAATTAAGCACTACCACGTGATTTAGTAAGTTCCCGTATTTTGCTCAAAAGCAAACCGAACAAAGACCCCGTAAATTGGGTCGTTTTGACAAATATGCAAATTTCGAAAATGGTCAACAAAGCAACGGATAAGGTAAATATCTTTAATAAAACTCATTCATTTTTACCCAACACTTAATATGTTGTCAAGTTCAACTAATTTCCCCAACCAAATAGTTATAATTGATTCAATAAACTATGCCGAAGTCTGATTCTTTCCATGATCATTCCGCCTTTTGAACTAAGTGTCCTTCATCAAAAACACCAATCAAAAGGAACATCGGTAATTAACCTTACACAACAGTAGCAGAATAGCAGAACAATCTGGTAAAATTTGTTAAAATCCATCTGAAATTAAAGCCGAATCGTTTCAAAAGTGAATCACGATTCCACCCCCCTCCCCCCTCCCCCCTCCCCCACCCTCATTTCAAATTTAAAAGCTGTATGCGCACTCGTTAGTAGGCTTAGCGTTGACAATAATATAAACGTGTACGTATGGAATGGCATTTGATTTGGAGACAGGCCTTGTTTTTGGTTAACATTGTCATAAAGGATCCACTACTCGCATCCAGTACCAATTTGGCGTAAAAGGACGAATTCTTGGTCTTGGCAGCAAAAAATGCGCCTTTCTTCCCCTCTCCTCCCCTCCCCCCCCCCNCCCCCCCCCCACCCCCCCACCCCCCCTATAGCTAGAATAGATGGTGGGGTGGCGCCCAAATTCCTATCTCATTCAATTTATCGATGTGTTTCGAGTGTAATTGCGGAGGTGACCAAGGACATGCAAAGTTTATGTGATGTTCCTTCCTCGGTTAATCGAAAATCTGTTCCAATCCGAGTTGACAATACGCCATTTAAATTCCTTCTGCCCGATTTAAACCATGTTAATTAAAGCTGTCATTGACTGACGGTTAGCATTTGACCATTAATTTCAGTAATACTATGTAATGTCCGTCGTGTTCTCCTTTTGCTTTTGAACTAAGCCTTCTTTCTTAACATTTAAATCAAGTGGCAGGCGTTTTGATAGTTACCAATAGCTCTTTAGTTGACTTCAGGCTTCACGGGGGAGAAGGAACATCAAATTGAAAAGATGTCGAGAGGGGAGGGGGAAGAGAAGGGTGTTTCAAAGATGTAAGCGAGACAAACACAATGGCAGAGAAAAAAGGTTAGGTGAGTACAGTGAAAGGGGTCGGATATAACATACAGTGGGGTGATGGTAGTTTGAAGCCAGAAGTCAACTGCCGGTTAATAGACTTTTTTGCCGTATGAGTATACGTTGCCCAGGGAGCACCACGTGGAGGTAAGTCTAGCACACTCCCCTCTTTCTTAACATTAAAATGAAACTTTTATTGATAATAAATAAGGTTGAATAATTTACTATGAAAAAAACTTACTGGTTTGCTTTCAGATACTGTATGCACAAAGGAGAGAACGTGTAACACAGACCATGCCCTCGCGATATAATTCAATCCAATGGGATCGCCCTTCTCGTTAACCAGCAAGTTAGCAAAGGCAAGATTATTTTCCCAGTAAGAATGAAAGAACTTTTGTGTGGGACAATCAAAATGTGCTCTGCTATGTTAACGTCCAACTTGTAACATCTTCTAAGTAGTAGTGAAATCAATAATAATTAAATAAATATAACTGATCAAACTAGATTTCAATATTATGCATGATTTTTTTCCGAAGGCTTGACTCCAACAGGCACTCTCATTTGCATCTCTTCCAGAAATTCATATTAGACTGGTCATTTATTTCCCTGTTCAGATGGTTTCAAAGAAACCTTACCAATTTTTCCTTTCCATGGTTAATGGCAATAATAATATCAATCTGACAGGCAAGTGCTTAAGAA